ATAAGGTCATATGAGCGCGTGGGACACATTATACATTTTCAGTTGGTAGGAAATTTTGAATTTTGCCGGGGAGCCGTTGCTATCCGGACTCGAACCCAGGACCTATTTATTGAATGAGAGGCGAACACCTAAATCTCTAGACCACGTGAGCCCCCTGAAAATGTATTTGCAAGATGCTGTTGTGCTTTGCAACAAAGAGCAAGAACATTTTTTGTTTACGTCAAAACGCAGACAGGCGCACCAGAAGCTTGAAATAAAATATTGTTCTACAAAAATCACTTACTCGTACTTAAAACAAAAGTTCTTCTAGGTTTCCAAAATGCATGAAAGAAAAGGAGCACGATTTTTCAACAAAAATATTTTTTCTCAGCATTTAATTATAATTTTTTTTTACAGTAAGAGAGTATAACAGCACTTGCAACACAATTAGGTCACAAAAGAGTCGAAAATTAAGGTATTACAAGGGAGAACCAAGTACACAAAAGAAGGAAGGAAAGATACGGATGATAAGTGTTTAGTAGGAAAGAAGGAGCAAACCATACAAGAGCACCCACCAACCACCCACTACCAGTAGGGTAAGATTTATTAAGTTCACAAAATTGACCAATAAGGACAAGCGGGCTAACCCAGATTTCCGGGGTTTCCAGAAATCTTGACCCACACCAAAAGTGGGCATTGCCCTACTTATAGGAGAAGTTTGGTTTCATTGGTGAGTATATTTGTTTGCTTACAGAGAAAACTCTCCTTGTCTTTTAAAGAAACTGAACAAGGACCCAAAAACTTTACCTTCGATTTTCTCAAAACAGCATTTTTCAGGATAGCCCCCTTGTGCTCGAAAGCGACCAATTGAAGCATCCAATAGAAACAGGAGAAATGAACACTAGGTTGAAAAGTGAGGTGAGAGAAAATGAATCAACCACAAACCTTCACATTCATGGACGTCAGTTTGTCTCCGTTTTTCCCAAAGGCTTTGTCAAACTCAGCTTTGCAACTCTGCAGTAAACAAAACAATGATGTATCAATACTAAGTTTATATTTGTACTGACTTAATTAAGATCATTCTTATTCAGGAGGCCAGCTGTAAGATGCTCCAACATGACGCTGAAAGAATTTTTTTCTGTAAGTGTTTTACGGCGCTAAGATCATCAAACAATAACACCCTACTTGTGACACCTGTAAAATCATACAAATGATGACAAATGCAGTTTTTGGGACACCTGAATATGATAGACATAAGGGTCTTGAACATCTAGCTCTCACAGGCAAAATTGAGGGCAAGCGAAGCAGGGGTAGGCCCAGAACAACATACTTAGGGAACCTAAACAAATGGGTAACAGGGAAAGATCAGGGAAACGTAGCTTTTTTTGAGAGCATCCGAGCAAAGGAATGAATGGAGAACCGTGATCGTCGATGTCTGTCGCAGATCTGGCACTGTAAGATGATGAATGTCGAACTGAAGCCAGCAAAACTGACATTGTCGTCTGCACAGTCCAAATCACTCCCACACACACCTTCCATTCTACCAGCAGGTCGGCCTGTTTGAGTGAATCCGGCGAGTCTAACTGCAGGTGTGTAGCGGGCTTAAAAGAGATATTTCATTCCCTTTACCTCTCCCCCCCTCCCCACACTCTCTCTCTCTCCCTTTCTCCCACTCTCTCTCTCTCTATCTTTCTCCCGCTCTCTCTCTCTCCCTGTCTCTCTCTCGCTATTTCTCTCACACACGCACAGACAAACACATGCATTCACACACACCCACACCCACCCACCCATCCCACACACACACACACACATGCACCCACTAAACCAAAAATCCTCACCGTGGCAAAACCTCTGCGGACCTCCCCCATGGGTACAGAAGTGACGGTGGAACTGACGCTAGCCTGCGAGCCTCCGCTGTCCTGTCTGCCTGAGGCAGGCTGCTCCAGGAGGCTCTGGTACAATTCCAAGTACACCTTCTTGATCTCCCCCTTGTCTCTCTTCTGGGCGTTCAGCAGTTTCCTCATCTCTTTGCCCCAGTCCTGGACGGTGAGGTGGGATAATAATAGATAGCATTAACTCACTTGAGCCTGATCTATTTTTCACCCAACAACCATTGCAGCCCGACAGTTTTGGGGCATACTGAACTGTTCACCATAAAAAGACTGTGAAGCTATCATAATCTTTTAAATACAATAAAAGAAAGAAAGAAATGCTCTCACAGAAAAAGAAAACTGCATCCGATTTGTCCAAACCATTTTTTTTATTCTATCAGTATTTTGAAATGGCAATGTCAGGGATTACACAATATTTTCTTTGCGCCCAATTTATAATAAAATCATCTATCGCTACATATGCGGTGCATTGTGGTGAAATCAGGCGCTCGTCAAAATAACAAAATCAAAGAAATTGGCATTTTTCTGGTTGTTGGGCAATTTTGTTAAAATTTTCTTTTTTTGGCTCAACACCTTTCATAAGTCCATTTAAAAAACACATTTGTGTGTGGATGTTACAGAAAAATAGCGATTAAAGGCACAAAAAATCAAAATTTTCCGTTTCTGAGGACTCTCAAACCATTGAAGTCACATAACTTTGGCAGCAATTTTCTCACTGATTTTACCTCTGAAATCCGGCGACCCCCACCTCCTTCAATCACAAATATCTCGACTTCTATTCAAATAGAAGGATATTTTTTTTAACCAAAGGCAAGGCAAAAAATCACCAAAATATTCGAGGCAAACCTCACACCGAGAAAATTGTCTTTTTTATAGGTGCTAACACACACTAACATACTGACGAAATCTTTCACTGTCAATGGCCAGGGACCCATTCCTACCTGGGTGAAGTGAGGAATATTCAAGTCAAGTGCCTTTCCCAAGGACACAATGTCCAAACTTGGAACCTCACAGTACAGTACTTACGTAAGTATACAATAATCCGTCACGCCATTGTAAACCAAATTTTCCCACTATCAAGGAAACTGGACACAGAGTATTGCTCACCTTGAACACAATGTCTGGCTCTTCAAACTGTTCCAGCGCGCTGATGAACAGATTGACCAACGGGATGTTCACAAGTTCAGCCAGCCTGTGAACGGGACAAGGCAGGTTTAGGTAATTGTATCAGACTGAAAAATCGAGGCATGCGAAAAGAGAAGTCTCCGCAAAATCTTCAACGTCACCAGAAGAGACCGCAAAAGAAACAAAACGCAAAGAAAGATGAGCATATCGCCACATTGTAAGACCATTTCATTTATGCTTTTTTGAGCAAATACGAGCAAAAAGCATAACGCCACATTATAAGACCATTTCATTAATGCTTGTTTGAGCAAATATGAGCATATCGCCACATTATAAGACCATTTCATTAATGCTTGTTTGAGCAAATATGAGCATATCGCCACATTATAAGACCATTTCATTAATGCTTGCTAGAAATAACAGTTGTTCAGAGTAGGGTAGGAAGAAGGTGAGAAGGCAAGAAAGCCTTTAAGTTTCTAGTAAGACCACCCCTCTTCCTTTTTTGCAAAGCAACTAGAAAATAGATCAACACAGCACAGCTCAATCCATTAGTCTTGTTTCTTCCTTCCTTCCCAACCTTCCTTTCCTTCCTTCCCAACCTTCCTTCCCAACCTTCCTTCCCAACCTTCCTTTCCTTCCTTCTCAACCTTCCTTTCCTTCCTTCTCAACCTTCCTTTCCTTCCTTCTCAACCTTCCTTTCCTTCCTTCTCAACCTTCCTTTCCTTCCTTCTCAACCTTCCTTTCCTTCCTTTCCTTACTTCTAAGCCTTCTCTTCTTTCCTTCTCAGATTTCTCTTCTCTCCCTCTTCGTCTTCTCTACTTTCACAATTTGAATTAGAAATCAAAAGGCAGTTTTACTTTTCAACTTTCTCCAGTCTCTTCTTCTCTTGAGGCGTAGAACCAAACTTGAAACCTTCAAAACTCATTCGGAACGCATACACCAACGCCTGAAAAAAAAAAAAAAAAAGACCAGAGACTTGAAAGAGTTTTAGTTAGAGTTTTAGTAAGAGTTTTAGTAAGAGTTTTAGTAAGAGTTTTAGTAAGAGTTTTAGTAAGAGTTTTAGTAAGAGTTTTAGTAAGAGTTTTAGTAAGAGTTTTACGGCACTAGCAACACAATAAGGTCATACAAGTGCCGAGGATTAGAGGCGTTACGAGAGAGTAACAAACACAAAAAGAAGTGGGTTTTCCCACAATGCCAGAGCCCTCTTTTGGTACGAAACTTGAAAGTGACATACACATCCCTAAATTGATCAATACATCAAGAGAGATAAACCTACTTGCATGGTTCTTCATCTAACAAAAACAAAATCCTCCTAGTAAGACAGACCTGTTTCTGGCAACTGTCAAAAAATTGATAGAATGTCAGCATCGTATAAGAATCAGGGTGTCCAGCAATATTTGCTGAAAAAATTTACTACCTGGAAAAAAAATGTACTACCCAGCAAATCAAGCCCCACACCAGCTCGAAAAAGGGAGTTCATTTGCGCCATCACTAACATAATATATGGAACAAAAACAACATGCAACAACGTCCAGTCAACAAAATGGAGGATAGGGTTCAATGAAGTCTTGCTGGCTTCATCACTTCGCCCGTAGGTTAATTTACGACTGTTTACCAAATGTTTACTACCATCACAGCATATTTACTACCATTTATAACCTTTACGACCAGGGCGTCGAATTTACGACAGAGCAATTATGAGCGTCAGCCGCTGGGAACAACTTGCTGGAGATAAGGAGTCAAACATTGTTGGAAAATCAAGGGGGTACGTTACATGATGGTCTTTTGATGAAATCCAAAAAGAAAGAAAATAATCACATTCGACTAAAACGCAGAGACCCGACCCACCTGTGGATACTCAGCGGCTATTTTTGTCAGAACAGGCTCTACGATGTCTGCTTCCGGTTTGTCCAGGAGAGCGGTCATCTGACTGACCCACATGATGAACATCCAGCTGGGGACCTCCGTCACCTGAACACACCCAAACATTTCGCTACCTTAGAATTACAAAAAGTTTTTTCTCACATTTTTGGCCGTTTTGATTAACTAAGACCATGAGGTCAGAAACCAAAAGTTTTGTCTACTCTTTCAAAATCGTAAGCTTATTTGGAGTCATTTATAGATATTCAAAGAATTGAATTTAAAAAAGCTTGACATGTGTGAAACAAAATTTTCTATGTCAAATTGTGAGGCAGCTTTGTGAAATCAGGCGCTCGTCAAAATAACCAAATTGGAGAAACAGGCATTTTTCCGCCAGTTCATAATAAAATGATAAAAGACATGTTAAGCTTTAAGAAAACAGTATTAGTCGTAAATGTAGGCTACATATTTGACACCTGTGTTTATTTTCAGCTGATATCTCCATTTGCTCATTGTGAGAATTAGCTCATTTTGTCAGCATGCTTCACACGTCCTTCTGTCCAGATCTAATTGTATTTTGTTTGACTTAGTAAGTTTTACCAAAGATCGTACATAACACGACAGTTCACTCGGCCAAAAAAGTGTCCGTGTAAGTCCGCGTATTGGTTCAGATGTCGCTGCAGTCTTTGTTTTAAAGCTCTCTTTCGTTTCTCCAGAAGAAGAATAGGAATAGCACCCCCTTGCACATCAGGCGTTCCAGTTCGCTCAGTGCGGAGTTTTGGGCTTATTATATTTTAATGACCTCTCGCCTCTCGTTCTAAAGCCAAATTAAACGGAAAAAAACAGTCGCCCCTTCCATCTGAAGAGGATTTTGGTAATCATTTAAAAAGGCGTTATTCTGAAATTTTAATTATAATTTATACAAAAACTTGTTAGTTTCACTTTCATTTTTTTCCACACAAGTAGGGTAACTCTGTTCACAAAGCGAGACCTTTTTCGAAGAGGGCGCCACTGGATTTTGAGGACACTTTTTTAATTGGTTCAAAGAGAGAAGTGAACCATCTTGTTATGCAGAATCTTTGGTTTTACATAACTTGCAACACAAACAGGTCATAGAGGCGCTGAATATTAGTGATGTTACTAGGGAGTAACCTACAACGAAAAGGAAAGGAAGAAGATCTGTTTGAAAGGAAAGAAGAAGCAAACCTTACTTTACTTAGCATAGCACCCACACCCACCAACCACCCATGTTTCATTCTCTGGTGTCATGGTTGATTTTATTAATATCCTTCGGCCCACATGTCATCAGATTTCACGCAAATCTTCCAAACGGTGTAGCTAAATTCCAGCCATCATGTCATGACACAAATGACGTACATCCCAACCACCACTAGACGTGGCCACATCTCCTACATTCCCCCCCCCACACACCTTCTTGTTAAAAACGTCCACCACATCAGGATAGAGCTCCGGTAACTGAAGCAGTCTGGGAAATCTTTCTCGAGCCTCCAGTTGTCCCCCCTTGATGGCTCTCAGCAGACACAGAACCACGGTCCGCGGGAACTGCGAGGTGTCACAGCGCGCTGGAAGCTCATCTGAGGGAGACAAGTTTTAGTGTTAGTCAGAGTTTTACGGCACTTGCAACACAAAAAGGTCATATAAGTGCCGAAGATTAGAGGTGTTACAAGAGAGTAACAAACACAAAATAGAACGAGTTGAGAGAAGGACGACAGATGTTTGATAGGAAAGAAGGAGCAAACCACACCAGAGCACCCGCCAACCCACGTACAAAACAAAATCAAAATAATCAAAAACCCTACAAAATTAGAACACAAACAGAGAACATCTCTTACCCCCCAGAGCAGTGCTACTGACTGAAGTTGTCTTTAGGCCATTCCCAAAAGGGGTACATTAACATGTTCTTATGCACAGTAGAATTGTAAATGGGCTGATTCATTAATGTAATGCTCATAACTTGTGCCTGAACTGCTAGAAGGAACTGCAGCTTTTTCTTTTCTAATCCTTACTATCCTCATTTTCCCTCTACTTCTTTTGTATGTTTGTCACACTCTTGTGACCCGCTATTTCCGGGGTGCCTTGATAGTCGAAGCAGACCTTGTGCTGTTGAAGCTAGAGAGGTGAGCAGAGTCAGCCTGATTCCCTGTTAGGACTTCTCTTTTGACACCCACCCCTCAGCGCTCATATGACCTTATGCAGTTGTAAGCGCCGTAAAACCTCTACTAAAACTAAAACTAAAAGCGCTGTACCATCTTCCAGCAGACGCAGGTACTTGTCGCAGAATTTGGCCAGTTCCAGGTTGGCCTCCTCGCAGGTCATGGCAGTTTGCCGCACCTCGGCACCGCCTGACCTTGACCCCTCCTCACTGACGGCAGCCTTCAAAGAGTGGAAACCTTTGCTGATCAGGCCGTTCACCAGCTGCGAGAAGAGAATTTGTGCGGCATCGTGGTGAAATCAGTCGCTCTTCAAAATTATGAAATTAAAGAAACCAACATATTTCCATCTCTTGAGTAGTTTTTAAATATTGGGGGTGGGGGGGGGTGTAAGTCCACAAAGAGCAATACACTAGAAAATAAAGAACACGTCATTTTCCAACACAAAAACAGTCTCCTGTATACAGACCCTCAAAAACATATTAAATATGTTTTTATTATACTGTCATACTGGTTGGCAGCTATGCTTAAGTGACAGGTGAAAGGACGACTGCACCCAAAAATAACTTACAAATTTATTTTTTTTAAAAGAGAAGGACAAATGTCCCACACAGTGTAAATCATCAGCGAGGCGGGCTGACAAAATGAGTTACTTCTCACAATCCATGAACGGAGATATCCGCCAAAGGTTAACACAGGTCACATAGATGGTAGATTTTCAACCAAAGCCCCTTCAAGTCTGTAACACTACCATGTCTTTTACCATTTCATGCAAGTAAATTGAACAAACTCCAGATACGAATTTCACAAAGCTATTTCCATAGGGCAAAAATTGGAGAAGTAATTCATTTTGTTAGCCTGTCTCGCATCTATACTCTGTATTCCGGGGTTGGGGGGGGATGTTCCAAGGATAGGGGTGGGGGGACCTACCTGTTCATACGTCCCAGCTCCGGCATTAGCTTGAGCCGCCAGTTTGGTTCGCGTGTTCTCGCTGAGGCCCTCAGTCGACTGCAGAGCCAGGAGCCCCCCCAACAGCAGGTCCACCCCTCGGCCGCCCAGCGTGCTGTGTCTCAGCCCCATGTCCGGCCGCTCGTACAGTGCAGGGCTGCCCTTCATCTTGTCTTTGGTTGATGGGATGGAACAATCCAGAGAAATCACAGAAAACTTATAACATATCCAGAGAGTATATAATATGTACGCATGTATATATATATATAT